AATCGAATTTATTTTATTACACAACCTAGTATTTCTCAATCTGAAATATCTTAAGTGTTTCAAATTTACTCGTGTTTCTTTCCAGATATCCTCTTAAGTGCTTTAATAAAAAAATTAAAGATAATTCCACGACAGTCAGAGCGATCTAATGTCAGAAGCTGTCCCCAGTGACGTTTCTTCGATATTTTGCGAGGATACTAAGCACGAAACTAAAGCGAATCTGAAAACGGCTATGTCAAGTCCCGATCGGGACTAAGGGATAAGATCGGGCGATGAGTATTCAACATCGCGAAATCTCTTTCCCAAAACGGTGCGGCTGACTTCCGTTGAAACCGTGACTCGTATTTCGCGTGACATAGATTACTCGAGGTGGAAACTCCGGAGGAACGAGATGCGTTCTCGGCAAGCCAAAGATCGTCTCGCTTCACAACGTCTTTTACCGAGGGATAACTACTGAAAACTGGAGCTACACGATATCGATAGAGCGGCTATCTCGAGCAACACCCCTTCGATGTTCTCTCCGTGGAGGATGTTGAGCGCGGATCGTCGGTAGCGGCGGACCCGGGCGACCCTGCCGACCCCCGACGGGCTGAAAGTGCGGGTTCGGTGGAAAAGACTTTAAAAAAGAGCCGAGAAAACGAACGAGTGCACGCGACCAAGATGGCGTCGTGCCCGGGCACGTCGGGTATATTACGATAGACCGGGGTACGCGGGGGAACGACGACGACGACGAGCGCGCGGAGCAGGCAGGAATGGAAGCCGCAAAACAGGAGGATGGGGATAATTGCGCGAGGCAATGCACGAGGCTCCTCCCCTTATTCAAGCCTAAAGCCTGCAACTGCAAGTGCCAAGCTACTCACTTTGCGGTGCGCACACATGACACGTTCGACCGCTCGCGACGCGCATCCCGCAACGCTGATGCCATGCGCTCCGCCTTTGCGCTACCGCACTGTGCGAGTGTACGTGCTTTTATTACGTGTACAAACGCGTGCATATGTATACATGTGTATGTGTGTGTGTGTGTGTGTGTGTGCGTGTGCGTGCGTGTGTGCGTGTGTGTGCGTATATGCGTGCACGCGCGCGAGCGAGCGTCTACATACGTGTATTTGTACGCAACAATGACCAGGACTCCCTGGAAATCTGACTCACTCACGACGACGACGACAACGTCGACAACGCTCATTGTTGCGTACCCGCTATCGATCCGCTTTTCTCCTCTCCAGATTCGCCGATAGGTCTTTTTGGGGTTTCGCAAAGAAACTCGAGATATATGCGCGCGAGTTCGTTCAATTTTGCACGACTTTTCGCGTTAGAACGAGAGTGGCGCTCGAAAATGTGTCGACCGAGTCAAAGAGGACGAGGTGAACGCTTACCAAGACGCTGATACGAAAACCCACATTAGATCTTCGTTTTAGAGAAGAACTTTTAAACTAATGCACAAAGAAAGTAAACTTGTTTCACTCTTATTGGACTAGTGCAGAAGTTCTTCGAAAACAAACAGATCTATTATTAGTTTCGCGTTTGGTTTTCCCTTCCATTCTTGGTGGATCAACTTTGTATAACGTAACTTATTTCTATCGGAATTTAACTCCTCATTACAAAGTTCCAATTCTATTTTTGTAAAATGTCTTTTTGTTGAACTTGTTAAAAAATAATTTAGCGGAATTTTTACGAATAATATGAAGAAAATCGTATTTCTATGTATAAACGGAAGATAGTGATGTGGAAGACTGCACTAAAAGAAAAAGTATCCAAGAAATTTATTCAGAGCATTTATTCAGTAGATGCTAATAATATATTCCAACCAAATCTAAATCCTTATATTTAATCAGGATAAACTGGATAATCAGGATAAACTGCTTCTATAAAAAGTTACGATTTTAAGAGAATGTATATTTTCTTATTTGAAACAAATTTCTCCTCTGTGTAGAAATATGTGCATTAATATAAGCGAATATGTTATTGGTATCTAACGCAAATATATATATTTGTTTCTTTTATTTCCTAAATATTTTTCTCTCAATGTACGTACGTTAAACAACAAATGTTATTGTGAAGTCTATTGAAAGCTGATCTGTTCGCTAATTGCACAAGCATTTTCTTCTCCACAATTGTTTCCATAATTCAAGAACATTCTTTCATGAGATAACGCGAGAGCCTTTAAGTCTAGGTGCTGAAGTTATGAAATTTCCAGGAATAAGAACCGAAGGCGTGTCGGTATAAATTCAACGGGTTCGCCGCCATTACGAAGTGCGTACATTGAAGTACATTATCTTCATGAGAAACTATGAAGCAGCTGAATCAACGGTATTTATAAAAAATTTTTCCTGAATTACCGTTGAAAAAGATAGTGATTTAACAGTCCGCGATATTTTTAACTAGTTTGTGCAAAAAATACATATAAATACAACGAAAGAATTCAAAAGTTTATATAAATATTGTGAAGGCGAACAAGCGAAAAGTATTAGAGAATGATGAACCCATCATATATGAAGTAACATAAATTTAAAAAAGTACATTTTTGTTGCAATTTTAAAAGGTTGCTTAAAACCTATTCAAACGAAACATACGATTTTCTTGCGATCATCTCAGTTTAATTTTGTGATTTTGATTTCACATGATGTATTTTAATGATATAATATTCAAGCTCTATGCTTATATCAGTTTTAAAGTATTATATTTTATGTATACTTTAATTTTCGTCTAATCTATCCATTTAAATCCCTATAAATATCTTAACTTCTTCATTACCAGTATATAAGTCATTTACTTCATTATATATGCATGAACAACGCGTATTATTTTTATTAATTTATATTTATAACTTGTCACGGACACATAAGCAGAATCTATGTAAAATATAAATTATTAACAAGATTGCTTTGCAGTATTGCATAACGTACGTGAAATCACCTTGAAAATCGTTTATTTCGTTTAGATTAATCTATATAGAATATTATTATTTTTTATGAACTTGCCATATTCTGGTGGTCACAGTTTTTCTATTTTTTCAGTTTCTCTTTCTCTCTCTCTTCCTTTACTGCTCCCCTCAGCCTTGTTGAATAAAATAGTTGCTAATACTCACGGTAACTAACTTGCAGAATTGTCAGCTTATACTGATCACTAGAAGAACGACAAAATTTAATTAAACACTTGTATTTATTTTTATATATTTTGTTTCTTATGCTATTGTATAGTTTTATCCTGCCATTTCAAGAAAATAGTTATTTTTATTTCTATTTTCGCGAAATCGCCATTGACCAGTGTAACTGTGCCATTATTATCACATGTGCAGCTGTTTAATATTTATGAACTTGTTTTCCTCCCTCTTAGCATAAGAGTTCTTAATGCTCCACATAACGCCATCTTGGACATGTACCTTGCATAACAATCTATTCCAAGTACGTATGAATAATTAAATAATAGTTGCAAAATATATAGGAGGGAATAAATCGTAAACCTTTCTCCCTTCTCTCTCTCAGATGAAAAACCGAACAATTTCATTAAAAAACTCAAGAATATTTATCCTTAATTTATAATAATATACATCGCGTCCATCTAAGCGGACGTTACCTTATTTTATCAAATTTTCATTATACGTCGTTATAATTCGTACAAGCGACCTTTTCTTTATCAGCATTAAAAAATATATTTATTTTACGCGATAAAGTGATATTTCCAGTCGCGATTATTGTTTAAAAAAATTAATCAACATAAAGTAGCTCAATTATTACATTGCAATAATCATATTCTACTGAGTCATTTTTTATTCGATGCACTTATAAAATACTCATCTACAATACGCAGAGGAAACTTGACGTAAAAGTTGAGATAGGAAATAAAAGTAATTTATTTCGTTTCTCCCTCACCTCTCAAACTCTAGCTCCCTTACATAGGAAGTATTTCTTTTAAGTATTTTTAAGTACTTATGTCGAGCTTGCTCCGCGTATCGTAGACGAAGTTAGGCCCGATCTACAATAGATGGAGTAAGGAGTAGGAGTAGGAGTAAAACAAAATGGAAATAATTATTTCGCTTACACCCTTACTCCAATAAAAGTTTGCCCGTATACATCACATGGAGTAAGCCTGAATTAAGTAGTAAGGAGCTGGAGTAAGGGAGTAAGCGAAATAAATTATTTCCATTTCGTCTTATTCCTACTCCTACTCCTTACTCCTTCTATTGTAGATCGGGCCTTAAAGTTGATTAGACCGTTCTAAATCTCGCATCGATACGAGCTACTCCGACACAAATAACACGAAATACAACGGTTTCCCGGTAATACAGCCAACTAAGTTTGTGATCTGTATCATTTCTACGCGAAATATAGGCGGGATTAACGAATAAAGTATGCAAAAAGCAAACTTACCAGCGGGCACATCTGTTACATAACTAATTTTCCGAAAAAGGAAGAAGCGATGACAAATTCACTTCGAACGCTGCATTATGAGCGCGGAATCAAACTACTCTTTCTTAACTGCACTTCTGTACCTCCCTTCGATTTGTTTCGTTTCCTCTCTTTCTCGTCACATCTCAAGCAAAAGTCTATGTTATTCTTAATTATAGAGAACGTAACGTAATGTTACTAAAGGAAACAAATAATCATCGGCAGATATTGACAATAAATTCATCTGTTGTCGTGCACCTGCGGAAGTAGCTAATTATTGCGCTGCATTGACAATTGATATATGCCAACGCCATCGTGTGACAACTTAGTTAGCATTATTGATGCTCAATACCGGACAATGCAAATCACAATTTCTCATTAATGAAAGACGTGGCATAACGAACATCGTTCTACGCGCAGTTTAATGCATCGAGAGTACAAACTTGTTATATGCGATGTGTTGTTTATCCCTTATTTCAATATAATTTATTTCTAACTTGAATTTTTCCTATTGATAGATTTCCGACTATTCGGTGAACGTGCTGCCATCTAGAGAGCGGGCGGTAAAACTCCGAGTTACTAACTGTGCGAACATCTTGCTACCGATCGCTCGATGACTCGAGTTAGTCCGAATCGGGGGGTTTCGAATAGACCGCGACTGACGTCTGCTCCGACATTCCGGTCCATCTTCTGTATGTAAATTATTTTGATTTTCGTGTAGATATTACTACGGATCATCTTGCGGACCTTTTATTTTAGGTATCATAATTATACATGTGTAACAGTTTGTGTCAAGGACAATAATCAGACGTTGAGTGTTATTTATCTCGTGCTAACCTTATTTAATCTAGCATAATTCTATCAACATATTAATAATTCGTTTTGTACTCGAGAACTTCCGTAATCCCTTCTACAACAAACGAAAAGTTTTTTTATTTGCCTAAGAAGCGACTTCTGTGGAGTTGATATTTTTTTCAGTTATATTACTCGACTAACCTTAAGTCTGTTTTTCTATCACTAGCTAGTACATATTTACGAATTTAAAAAAAAACAAATATACAATTGAGATTTCTGTCAATCATTACTGCAAGTCATTACTGCCAGTTCACCAATAAAAAACAAAGCTTTTAACTCTTGATCATTTTCTTAAACTATTGATAATTCTAAAACCACAAAATACAAAGTAATTATGCAATTGAAACTACAATAAGATAGTAAGCTGCAAGACAGTGTCAGGCTACAAGATAATTGTATTGTTTCAGTTCCAAAAGAAATTAATTTACGACAATGTTTGAGTGGGCATATGATGGTGTAAATAGTTCCATACCACGCAATGTTGGTCCAGAATGCGCAAACTACCTAACATTGAAGCGAAGATTAATAGAAACACTGTTTATATCTGTACTTGTCATAATCTGCATTATATGGGGCCTGAAGCGAGTGACTCTGCCAAAAAACTTGGCCTATGTCAGTCAGGATCATGTCGGCAGAAGAGTTCTATTAATCATGATGTCTTTGGTCTTGGGGATGGAAATTGGTTTTAAATTCACTAGCAGAACTATTATATATCTGTTGAATCCATGTCATATCACAACGGCAATACAGGTAAGCTTGAGACATTATCTTAGTTCAAATATCAAGATAGTTCAATGTTTGTGTGATATCACACAATTGTAAAAATTGTTCAACAATAAATAATAAAAGTTTTTAAATATATAATTAATATCAAATATTATAATAGTTTACTATATTTAAATATCTTTTTGTTATACAGTTGTATTTGCTGGCTGCAGCTCCTAGTCCTACAGTCACTGCTGTCTTCAGGATACACTTGAATTTATTGAATGGACCAGTGCTCGCATACTTATTTCCAGAGACAGAATCTCGAATTGTAAGTCGTAATATATAATTTGGCATCAAGTTGAATACAAATTTTAAATGACAAGAGTATACGTTTTCCAGATATTTGCAGACAGAGCAATGTATTATATTCAGCATGGTTTGATGCTAGTAATACCATATTATTTATTGAGGCTTGGAGGTAATTATACATATTCAATTTATTTAAATATTCACAATAAGAATTAGTATTTATTCATTAATTGGTATCTCAATATCGCGTACCTACTATTTTAATTAATATTAAAATAATATTTTACTATTTTCTCCATTAGGTGTATATAATATTGAACCTTTCTCCGATATGAGCTGGTCGGTTCTTAGTTTCAGCCTCAATGTAGGATATCATTTTTGGATTCTTCAAAGTGTTGCCTTGGTATGTATATCAAACTTCTTCTTTTTTCATTCTAATTTTAATGTACGGTATATCTCTTAAAATATATGTCTTGAAATTTTTTTTATAATTTATGATATTTGGAATATTATTTTAAATATTGTAGAATAAGAAATAAGATTATATAGAAAGTTATATATTTGTGTAAGAAATATTTTGAACGTCTAGAAACGTTTAGAAAATAACTTATACTCTGTTAGTACAATCTTATCTGAGTATAATCTTATCTCGTATATCAATACTTGTATACTATCTCGTATATCAGTACTCTATATTATTTTACGAAAATAATATCTTCACACGCGTTTACTTTCTGTGCAGCCTGTACAAGTGAATCTTAGTCACATGTTATGCGCAGCTGTTTTGGATCCATTTGAAGGCCAAAATTATCGAATATGGGCGGTGACTCATCAGTCAATATTATGTCCTATTGTGTGCAAGCTGTTTTGTTATGGATCCAACTTCTTCTTAACCAAGTTTCCACTAACTAGAGTTAAGCCATCACTGGAATGCACAATTCCAAAGAAAATCTGTACATACGAGCAGAATGAAAAAGTGCACGAAGACTCCAACACTTCAGGGAACGGCCATACACATTTTGATTAGTTTGGTAGAGAGAGATTCGTTACACCAAATGTACGAAACACTTCCTTTCGATTTGAGTGAGTATGTAATATCCGCATATATATTTATTACCGTAATATCTAAGATTACATTATTTGTAGATTTCTAAAACTTTTACACCATCCGCATTTACCTTGGTAATCGTGTACATTTACTAGTTCTTATCTCGTTTACACAAGAGTGTCAGATTATTCTTCCTTGCAGACTAACGCGTTTATATAATTGTATCTATTATAACACCCTTCGAAAACATCGTCTACAGGGCCAGTAAACAAAAAAAAAGACATCGGGCGATAGGAAAAATTAACTTCTACATATAATTAATATTTAATTAATACACTAACAAAAATAATAAGAGTATTAACATACAAACGAAAGATACTTAACACATTCCCATTACGAAAAACATTTTTCGTTGCTGTCAAGATCAAGAAAGTCGCTCACACTATACGTATACACGAGATATCGAACTTGATCTTAGTACAATCGCTGTGATTGTATTAGTTTTAATTCATTAATCCGTGATACCGGTCGATAAATAGTCAATTCGAGGTATAAATTTCTGTCCAAATGCTTGTCATGCCTAGCGCTGTGCATAGATTAAGAGTCTCAGTGATAGTATGAGGCTTAAGCTGACGTCCAGTAACAACAGTGGCTGATTAGCCAACCCTAAAAATAACTGCACTATCTTCTACTAGGTAAAAACGCAATATAAACAGACCATCTCGTGCATTTTTATATTCATTTTTACTCATGCAATAGGGAAACAAAGACATTCAAATAACGAAACTGCAATGTATTTTACACAGTTCGGAAGTCAACTACATTGTTAGAACTTTGCCTATATATCGAGTATAACGAATAGGAAGCGGAAGTCCGTTGGGTTTCACGGTGAGTATTCTTGAGTCAGACAATTCGAAATGTAACGTATGTCAAAACGAGCCATAATATTGTCTGCTTAGAATTTGTGAGATCCTGCGACCTTCCACAGCCTAATAGTAAATATAACAGAGAGTATAAGAGAGCATTTTGGCGATGGAAAGCATCTACTAAATCTGATTGATAGTAATGGAGGCTGTAAAGCTGACATAACATTTTAGTGACGCGTAAGAACCTTCATTTTACCTCCTCCCCCCCC